GACTTTTCCCATAACGCACTGGAATCCACATTATTTCACTCATTAGAGTTCGGTATCTCCAAGGTAGAATAGGCTAGGAGCCACGGTGCACCATTAGGGAAACTCCTGTTTTTACTGAGCAATAAAGAACTGGTTTTGCTTATTGATAACTCAAGCTTCCCACAGGCTACATTATCCTGATTGCCAACAAGTTTTGCTGGTGGTGGTGGTGGTGGTGGCTTTTGTGTGCATGTGTGCGTCTGTCTATTTGTTAGATTAAAGCTCTTCATTTTTGTGTTACTGATCACACCACCCTTTGCTCAGGGGCATGATTCCTGTGTTGAGATTACCTCCTGACTCCAGATGTTAACAGAGGACAAACACAAGGGAGAAGAGGCCCCATATTTCCAGATGAAATGAGGCAGAATAAATGAAAGGATCCCCTGGCTTGTGCAGGAACGGAGAGTGTACATTACTAAGAGGTATAGCCAGGGCTGTGCAAACACACTAACTCATGTCAAATAAATCGCACTTTTTGCAGGAAAGAACTCTAGCTCTGGGTTTTTCCAAGCTAAATTGCATGAAAACACACAATCCTTTTTCTTCTCATTCGAGCTGTTAGATGACGGAACAAATTACCAGAAAGACCAAAAGGCAGTTTGCAGCCTTTTAACAACTGTAAGGACTTACTGCTCCCAATCTGGAAACACAAAAGATTCTGTGTCTTACTCCAAACACTCCCAGGTCCTATGCATTTCCCACTAGTTCCGCAAAGAAGAGAAATCTGCAAGTAAAAAGTATCAAAACTCTCTGGGATTTGAGAAATGGAGACTGCATTGGCCAAAGATATATAAGCAGTTATATCCAACTTCTTAAAAGAATACAGATATTTCTCTACCTCTGGTCAAATGCGGTCTCACTGTCCTTGGTCTCCCAGCTCACTCACTGCTGCTGGATGGGCAGGAATTATTTTACAGGCCCAATCAAAAGTCATTAAGTCTGTAAGGGTAGTGAAGCCCTGAGCTCAAGCTCAGCATTGAGGAACCCAAGGGAAGTAATGCATCTATTTTTCAATACCTGAGGCCATTTTGTTTCCAACTTTAATTGCACTTATGTATTGGTTTTGGGTATAATATCTCCACTCATCTTGCTCCACTTTCCACTACCCCACTATTAATACAGAGCCTAGGAAACATAATTGCAGTGTGCGGTAGACAGCGGTTTTCATTAACTGCACAGACGAAAACTGTTTAGGGAGAGACCTTTCTTCCCTATTGATTCAATCAAAATGACTTGGAAGAAAAGGTTGTGCTTATTAAATTCTTTTCAAAAAGGTAGCTGTTAAAATTTAAATTCGTTCTCAACAGCATTGTTAAAAAATGGTATATAATCTCTTCAGATTTTGTCATTTATGAATTTTTGTTCTTTCCAGTTCCTTTGGAATTTGCGACTTTTTATTGGTCTTTTTTTCTTACATGTAGGAAGTGGAGAGGTAAGGCTTTTACATGGAGACAGAGAATATAATCACCGCCGCTGTCTGCAAGACATGGGGTTGCCTAGCAATGCGAGGGGAATTAAAAGGGGGAAGCAATAACAAAACAGAGCGCCGCGAAATTACAAGAGGGCAGTGTCGGGGTGGCTCGCAATACTTATCCAGGGGTCTTTAAATGAGACCGGATATAGGATTTTCTAGCAGTGGTATAAAAAATAGATGATCATTTTTCAACATTCTTCCTCTCTTTCATTTGGAGCAGTTCACCCAATGGGACTCCGCTATTTTGAGTTCATTACTGGGCAAAATCTAGGACAGACACATCTGAGGATTAAACAGACAGCCCCACTGAGCCACTGGTATTTGAGTCCTTTCCAGTTGGACTAATTGAGTACATGATACATGAACCTTTCATATGCTCTATTGTTTCATAGGCTTTTGCTTATGTGGTAAATGCTGTTCCCGTTGTTGCTCTCTCCCAAATTTCAGAGCCTTCCTTTGAAATTTTCATGTCCAGATAAGTGAGACTCCTATTGTTTGTGACTCAGTCTCTCCCAGCAACAGATCTATCAGGATCCCAACTTTGGGGGCACAAAAGCAGAATCTTTCCTGACATCAAGATTCGATGTGCTGTCTTCTTTTGATTACACCAAATTTGGCCTTGATTATGCCAAATCCATCTTAAAAAAACAAAGCAAAACAGCAACAAACAAAAACCTCAACTATATCAGGAATCCTGAAAATGTCTCTGTATCTTTGGTTGTAATAAACTTTTGTCTAACAGTGCCATAAACATGACACAGAAAAAACGATTGGCCTTTACAGAGATGGCAGATACGGACAAGAATAAATAAATTCCAAGGGGACAACTATAGGATGATACACTCAGGAAATTGAAACACTAAACAGATCATGATGGGAAATGATGAGCCATGTGCTGAAACTCATCCTTTTGTCAGTAAAGGAATTTGGCAATGTTTTCATTGAGAAGAAGAACAGAGGAATCTGGTTGTAAAGGTGGCTTATATGTCAAGGAAGTATATTTGAAGTGCCAATCAGGAGATACAGGTTCTAGAAAGAGCTATGCCACGAACCAGTTATATCTCTTGGAACTTAAGTCTTTTAATGGATAAAATAGGGATGTTAGGTTATCACGAAGATCTCTTCCAGTTCTCACATTTAGATTCCAGAGCTCTAAGCATCTTTTTGGTCTATAAAACAACAGCTTTAAAACTGGCACTTTTTTCCCCTTCCTCATACTAGTTCCACACTGGAACGAACAGGGGATCGTGATAAGGCTTTAGGTGTTTCTCTGCCTTCTAACATTATGCATTTACACTGCAATCCCAAGTTGGTTCAGAGCTGTACAATATTTAACACTGCTTGTATATATATGTAGCTTTTTGCCTTCCTCTTTATTGATTCCTAGGCAGAGACAGAGTACTACGTGAAGATCTCTTTGTAATAATTTTCCCCTTCGGCTTTGGAACACAGCACACATTGTGCTTACTCCCTTGTCAGCTGCTGACTATGCCCCCCCGACTCCTACGGAGGTATTTCTCTAGATCCATTCCCTTTTCATATCACCTGTTCTCTCTTGACAACTCCTCCGTCTCCCTGATTTCATTCTTTATTGATGATTACCAATTCCAATTCCACTTTTCTATCTCTGAGCTCTATCCAATTCCAGACCTACACCTCCTCATTATATCCCAGAAGTATTTAAAATTCAGCTTGTCCAAAAAATGACCCCACACTTTTCTCTTTGCTGATGTAATTCATTATATTAATTGCATTACCCTCTGCTTCTTTAAGAGGTTAATTTTTATTCCCCCAACTTTTTCATTCACTCAGTCAGCTATTAGGTCTCATATGTTAACGTGCTTCCCATACTGGATTTCTACTCCTTATTTCTGTGGTCACCATTCTAGAAACGGACCCTACTTTTTCTCAACCAAATTATTCAAGTCTCCTCACTTCCCTGTTCTCTTTGCTTCTTACCATTCGAAAAGTTGGGCCAGATTCATCCTTGGAAGCGGAGCTCCAGCCACTGTCCATATAATTAACTCCCATCACCAGCAAAGTATCCATAAAAGTAAGTAAAGAACTCCTCACTCTGGTACTGGAGGGTTTTCATGCCATTAATAGAACAAACTTTTCCAGCTATTAGCTGCTATTCTCTAACATCAATTTTATATTTTAACCAAACCAAACTTCTGTTGAACACATGTCAAGCTTTCTTTTGTTTGCTGATGTTGAACTTAAGACTCCCCAGACTCCTCTCGGTCCACTTAGTGAGCACCAATGAGGTCTATTTGAATTTCACACTCATCAATGTCCCTTTCAAATGCTATTGCTTCCATACCTTTCCTGATAGTCCTAGTTACATGTGATTTTTTTTCCTTTTCCTTTACAGCACCATCTACCTCTCTCTTGGACATTTAATACGTACTGCACTATGGGTATATTGATCTTACACTTATCTGAAGGTGTAAAGCCCCAGAGATCAGTGTTTGCATCTTACCCTTCTTTGAATACTTTGAAAGGCCTAACCTAGTGTATTGAATGGCACTGGCATATAGCTAATAAATTAAACTGAACTGAAACTTCCTAATTATACTCCTTTTTTTCTTTTTACTTATTAAAGTCTAATTATCTATTGAGTGAATCGGAACTAATTAAATTAATAATCTAGGGTGAGACCAGATTGGATTTAGAATGAGACTAAATTTTCAGGTAGTCTGAGGAGCCAGAGTTCAAAAGCATATACCGTTTCTGTTATACACTAAAATATAAAACGTTGTAATTTTTTAAAAGCTTTGAGTCAAATGATCTTGCTCTGAAATTCAGCACAAGCCCATAGTTTACTTAATCTCTTAGAGCCTCAGTTTCCTACCCAGAGGACTACTGCAAAGACAGTAAGATAATATCTGTCAAATGCTTAGATACGTCCTAGTTCATAGGAAGTGCTTGATAAACATTAGCTAGTATGATCATTAATCTCATCATCACCACTCGTCAGCCACAATAGCCAAACTAATGAAGAAAAGATGGGCCTAAAATTATTTTATATTGGAGATTCTGTTTAAGTCTGGTAATCTAACTTGGGCTTTATCATTACCCAGTAACCAAAAGAACTTAAGACTCAGAAACCACTGACTGTGAAGGAAATACGAAAGAATACTATCTAGGAGGAAAGATTAAAGAAACTGAAATTATGCCGCTTAAAAAGGCATTTGCTTGGTGGAAGATTTGTCTTCAAAGATATTTAGAACTCAAAAATGAGAAAAGGGACTGCCTGACTTTATTTCTAGTGAGACTATTAACTTCCATGCAAAATTAGGTGTCAAAGTCACACAGAGCAGGAAAAAGCAATGCCCCTGTGCCATAGGGAGGCGACCAGCAAAGGAGCTGTGGGGCCATTTAAAGAGATGATTGCACTTTATTCAATTTAGACAATGGTGGGTGTCTTACATAAATTGAAATCTGAGGATCTGAAGAGCTATCAATGGATTCTTCACACTCTTACCTGAACTCTCATCCAGACTCTCCTCAGAGACATGCTCATTTTGATGGACCCACTCGCCATTGCATTTGAAGAATATCTGCATGGCTGGCCTTGCTTTGCACCTCAGTGCAATGGGGTTGCTCTTGATGATATAAGCATCGTCTGGCTCCTCTATGAAATGAGGCAGTGTCCCAGGAGCTGATGGGATGGATTCAGGGAGGGCTTCGCCATTGTCAGTTCCTGCAAAATTAAGGAAGAAATTAGAAAGAGCCTACACTGGCGGCACATACATCAGGGCACAAAGCACAACCCACACCAGTTCTAAGAATCTTTGCTGAAAACCTCTGCATCATATTAATACAGCAGGCTCATAAGGCCTGTGTAGATGAATTATTTTCCAGTGTCACTGGAAAAATGAAAATAATGAATAGGAGCCCCCCCTCCCCTTTGCTGAAAGAACTGAGATAAATATCAGTGTCCTGAGAAGCTGACTCTTAAGATTCAGTCTGGTGAGTGGTACCTCAAGGTGTTCAATAAAATAATGTGAAACAAATGTGGTGCTCCCACGAGTGTGAATAAAGGCATGTTGATGGAGGATGCGCAGTCATAAGACACATCCAGACAATTCCAAATTATCTGCTTTCCTTACCTATGAAACTTTGGAGGTCATCTGCTATTCTACCTTGGATAAGGTTTCTTCCCAAAACTCACCAACTGAACTAAACTATGAAAGGAAGGCACATTGTTCTGTCTGTTGTTGGCCACTGTTCTCTACCGCAGTACTCCTTCCCTATATACTATGAATCTCACTTTCAAGGCTAAGAACTACAATCACTAAAATAGCTATGTACTTTTAGTTGAGGACTTATAATCACATTTGCTCAAAAGGGAGAGAGAGAGAGAGAGAGAGAGAGATGATTTTCCCCTAAATTGAGGGGACTGATGAGTGGAGTAAAGCAATATTTTTTATATTTTGGTAAAGGCAGGACTCCAGACTTTGCTTCATTGCCTATTCACTACATTTAGCAAGGACTTAAGTCCAAGCAAATGACCTTAAAGTCGAGGGAAGAAAGTTCTGGCTGCTGAGCAATATGGAGATGACCGAGAGGAATGGTATCTGTGCCCTCCAATGGCCATTGCAGAGCAAGAACAAAGAATGCAAGGATTTCAATACCAACATCAACCAGGCCCTGGAAAGGGTCATTCCCATTCAAAGCAAACCAGTCTTAGGATTACGCTGGGGAAAATTAACCTAGTAAAACCACTGTAAGAACAACCCAGTGCATCAGGGGAGAGCCTAGGAGACAGGGTGCGCCCTGTGACCCAATCTCACTCCGTAGGCTATCAGTGTGATTCTGAACAAACAGAACCTCATATTCGCACTGGCCAGCACTGTAAGTCATCCGCCACTATCACTGCAATAAATATACTGCCTACCATAAAACAAACAAACAAATAAAAACAATGTAAATCAGCAAGCATTGTCAAAGGCAAACATAATTCACAACATTAGGAATACTGTCTTGTTTTAAAACTTTTTAAGGGAGCACTCTCAAATGTAAAAAGAAGGGGGGCTAGGACACAGAGGTATGGCTGCCTATAATTATATTTTTGTGTAAGAAAGAAAATAAAGGAACAGTTATAAAAAAGGCTCCTTGCCAATAGGATCATACAAGCACTATTTGTGCCACTACAATAAATTAAACATAAAAATTGTATGGTTCTCCAAACTATTTTTTCCATAAAATACATCAACTTAAGGGGGGAAAATAATAATTTAAGATGCTATAAGCTTTAAAATACAATTGTATTAGAAAAGTTTATTCATGTGTAAGTAATTGGAAGTGCCAAAAATCATCATAAAGCAAATACTCTAAGTAGTAAGCGAGCAAATAGTGTGTCATAAAAGTACAATAAAGTCACTCAAAAAATAAAATATGTATATAACACATGGAATAAGATGGGTTTCAGGATAGAATCTGAGAGGATTTTTTTAAAAATGTTTTAAATTATATTTACAACGGACTTCATAAAACATACCATATATTAATTCATTTTGTTGCTGACTGTTCATGCCGATTTCCATCCCCAATAAATACCAAGTCCCCTCAGGCTTTTGTAAATCAATGCATTAGAGAAAATGACAAAGGTATTAAAGATTTTATATGGGTATTGAACAGCTCACACTCATCAGGGACTTGAGCTCTGTCCAAAGTAATTCATTGTTGCAGAAAATGGTCACCTGATAAAGAATATATACCAAACAGCCACAGTCACACATTTTGAACTAAGAATTTTTGCTTAACTAGTAACAATGCATGATGTTTGACATAACTACTTAAATGGGGGGTGGAAATCATATAGAACAATCTCCAAGCAAATAGTGAGCACATAGTTACCCAGCATAAAAAAAAAAAAAAAGACAAATAAAGGCACTAGATCATAAGATAAATCAAATTTTAACCACCCCATTCACAAAAACAGAGATCTGAAAGCAATTAGGATACCCTCCCGCTATTTTAATAAATGCCCTTTAGATAAAGTAACAAGTCAGCCTTCATCTGAAACACAGAGCAGGAGAATGGAATGGAAAAGTTGGCAGGCTAGCTCAAGGACTTCCATTAAGAATCAATCAATCTTAATATTCAGAGCAGAAAATTTTTTAAAGGCAGAATGCAACATTATATCTTTATTATTGAAGCTATGTCAAAATCATGCATAAGTAGGAAAAGGGCCAGGATCCATGCAAACAAGAAACAAAGAAAGAAAATCAATTTATTAGGGGGGCAGTGGGGAGGTGAGAGATTGCAGGTACATATTTGTACATGTACTACCACTTATTTGTATCCTTCTAACAAACAAATGCCATAAGTGAAAGCAGAAAGAAGTCGGTTTTTAAAAATTTTTATTTTTTGCTTTGCACAGTGAAGTGTTGGGAGTGATGTTTACCTGACAGTGTTCCCCATCCCCCCCTTTTCCATCCCCAAGTTCCTCACTGGGCTCAGGCTCCAGTTCCTGGGCAGCAATGCCCTGCCCTTCAGGTGGCTTCTCTGCAGCAAGAAGGCTGGATTCTCCCAGCGGCCTCTCCTTCCTCACCCCAGGGGCTCAGTAGCCTCCCTCCCTCTAGCCTCAGAGGATGCCTGTCATGCTCAGCCCCACCTATGGCTTAGAACCGAACTGTTCAGGAAATTCTCAGGGGAGTCACCAAGCAAAGGGAAGGAAAGAAAGGAACTTAAGTGGGAACTTTTATGTGGCTGGGCTGCTGACAGATCCTGTTCTTTACAGGAGGAGCGGGGAGGTGAGACTTTAATAAATAGTTTTATGGAAGACTGCATGAATACTTTTTGGCTTCCCAGTAAATTTACTTGTAATCTCTGTACAGTTACCACTGTACAGAGTAATTCAGAGAAAAGTTTTAAACCTGGTCTGAAAAATGTTGGCAGCTGTCTGACCCAACCCTGTCTTCTCCAGTACCACTCCTACAGCAGAGACTGGAAGTCCGGATTCAGTTTACTTTCTGCAGGCAAGAATGCAGCACCGATCCAGCAAATGAGTCACAAGCAGAAGTTTCTGAGAAAGCTTTTCTTTTCCTGACCCTGCTCTTTCATTCCTGCCCTTAACTGGGAAGATTATGAGGGGCACAGATGGACCAGCTCTGACAATACTGAGGCATCCACCTCCAGATAACTTATTTTTTTAATCCTTACCTGAGGATATGTTTTTATTGATTTTAGAGAGAGGGGAGGGGAGGGGAGAGAGGGAGAGAGGCATCAATGTAAGAAACACTGCAATCGGTTGCTTCCACATGTGCCCGACCAAGGATCAAACCTGCAACCTAGGTATGTGCCCTGACTAGGAATCAAACCTGAAACCTTTTGGTGTATGGGACAATGCTCCAACTAACTGAGACACTCAGCTTGGACAGAATAACTTTTAAAAAAATCTCTATTTATTTAAGCTACTAATAGTCAGATATTCTGTTGTTTTTGCAGAAAACATCTCCTATCCAGACAACTAGATCTTTCTTCTTAAAAAAGCCAGAGCTCCAAACGTCACGTAATTAAAACTCAATATTCTAAGTGTAAAATAAAAGAATTTTGGTAAACTAAAAGACGTGGAAACTCTGCTAGCAGAAAGTAAAAATAAGAGCTGCCATTTATTGAGTGATTGCAGGTTATGGTAATAAGCCTTGTGCATGGATTAAGCCATTTAAGCTTCACAGCAGTTCTCTGGGGTGGGTACTGGAAATGTTCCATTTTGCATTTGAGGAAATGCTTCAATTATGTGTTTTGTCTAAGGTCATATAGCTAGTAAATGGTGGCACATAATTTGAACACAAGTCTCTGACTCCGCTCCAACCACCTCACCATTCCATTTCAGTTCAGTTCAGATGAATGGACTTTTAGAAGTCTGATACTGTAAATTTAGTGAGTGCCTGCCTTATGGCAATAACAAGCAGTTCATAAAGTGATGTATTATGTGTGTGGCACCTCACCGCTTACAGTAGGTTGACAGTCATCTTAGAGATCACTCAGTTATCCTCTCAGCTAGACTGTGATTCCAGGTCAAGATGGGTGTGTTATGGTCACATCCAGAGATGATGTTGAAAAATAAATATTTTGGAGAGAACAGCACAGCAAGAACTCAACTAATTGTATTCAACTGACTAGGCATCCTCACTAAAGTCAGGAACAGACAAAAGAAGTCAAAGAATAAGTGTTGTTTGAGACTAAAATAATGAGAAGGATTTTTCTATGTTTCATTTGGAAATCGTTTCATCTCTTTTTATGCAGAAATATTTAACCGCTAAAATGCCAATTAAAATACAAGGAATCTAACAGTAGACAGCGAACCTCAGCAAGATGAAGGGACTGGGCTCCGGGCACTGTCATTCCATTATGTTGAACCATAAAACTCCCAACATGTGACCATTTGATCTGTTAAATCTGTAATGGGTTTGGGAACCCTGGAGGCCAGTCATGTACTGGGATTTGTAAAACCCTGGTGCTGTATGCTGGTACTCCATGGGGTTAGAGTGTAGATTAAATTGAGTTTCACCAGATTGTGAGAAATTCTAAATTATTTTTGTACTTTTTTCCTAAGAGTACTTTGAAATACATTTCATTTTTCTTTTCTGTCTCCAAAGTACTCTTGTCTTCTCACTGGTATGAAACATTATTATTTGTTCCAAAGTCTTACCATATGCAAAGATTACATCTGGTAAAACAAAAGAACTTTAGAATCAAATAACTTAAAGTCC